CGCAACCCCTTGAGGAAAGGCTGCTGTGTGTGCGACAGCGCAGTGACATATATTTATTTATTGAGGGTGTATAGTCTATAATAGATGTCTATAGGCCCCTGTTTTACAGAAATCTTTTTCCAACATACACTGTTTCTCCGACGATAATCTATGAGTGGTTATCCTCTCCGCTTGTTGATAGATAACGTCCATGTCGCACTACATCTACTGGCTGCATTGGACGGGACATGGTCTCAATATTACTGTGGATTCCATGCATAAACCAACATAAACAACATAAAGCTACTCTCGGTGGGTTTGGATGTGAGAACTTGATTCTATAGCGAGTCAATGGTTTGTCAGATTGTTGTATATGTTTGTATGTAGACGGGTGTTGTGATTTCATAGATGTCGAGTCTTTGCTTGGTTTTCTGTAGGTGCATGGAGAGATTGATTTTAGGAAGAGTCTAGGTGCTATATGGTGTTGTTAGTTTATGTTTTTCTGTGTGTAGACGGGGGCTGGAACAAAGGCGGTATATGTAAGAGGTATGGGGACCCTGCCTGTTCCCCTGGCTTCGTGTTTACCCAGTTCGTCGTGTTGAATCTGTTGACCTTTGAAGAAGCTGGGAATACAGTTCCGATGACATGTCCGATCCATTTTGCGATGACACCTCCGATGACATCTTGACAGGCAACCCGGATGAATTTCCCCGATGAATGCCCTTGATTCTTTTTGGAGCTTTCACCTGGGGGTCACCAATTTGTATCTATAGAAAGGGCATCTCGCGGTACCCTAGGCCTAGGTTCGCAGGGGGGGTATATCACTTAATGTAAACCGTTGATTTTTATCAAAAGGATGGAGTACCACAAGGATGGATTTAATGTAAACCTTTGATATCCTTTGATACCCCTTTGATATTATAGGGGATAAGGGTTACGGGCAACGACCCAATGGCATGAGAAGGAAGCCTATGATATGCCATCCGATTGTGGTTTAGGCCACTTACAATGTGGGGTATTTCAAGACTCCTCGACCCTGGATCCTCCGGGATTGCACAAGGATGCTCCCGTTGCTGCCGTTGCAGGTCGAAGCCCTCTGCAAGACCTTTGGCATTGAAGAGCGGATCATGCGTCGGCTTCATGTGCGGCACCACGGACGTGTTCGCGGCCATCTCGGGGATTTTGCATTTGTAAGCCAGATCTACTGTAAACAAGTGAGTTGCAGAATGACCTCAGATGTGTCGGTTTCAAAGCTAACTATTGACGTTTATAGACGTTTTTCCTTGCTGTTTATGCTCTCCTCTGTGAGTTGTGTGTGTGTATTTTCTTTGGAGGATGTCATGCTGACGCGAGAAGCCACGTTTGATTCCGACATCAAAGCCTTGTGGGAGGCCGGATCGCAAGGGGTGGTGTGTTCGGTTTGTTTTGGCGCGCCAGCTTTGCCCAGAGGTTTGCGAAAATGCATCCAAGCCCTCGGGGTTCTTGATGGTGAAAATTGGTGAGATGGAGTGGCTTGGCTGCATGGCGGGCATCCCATACGTGTCTTTTTAGCTGGTTGCTCCAGTTACTTCAACTCCGAATTGCCTCTCTGTGACTCTACAATGCCTTCTTCAGATTCCGAGGAGAGGCTGCTTCACAGGAGCTGGCAAGCTTGACCAGGACGCGTTTTCTTTCATGTCAGCTCAGCCGTGGATGCGCGTAGCTGGTGCCGCAGCGAATGCATGCGAAAAACCGGGTTTGTAGAGGCCATGCTGCAGTTTAGAAACCGCTGGCGGCTGGATGACAGGCTTGCTTTGTTCTGATTGATTTTTCTGCGAACATCAGGTCCTGCGAACATAACAGCGGCTTTGAGAAATTGCATGGTTATCCCCGCTAGCAAGACAACTTGGAAGAAGACCACTGAAGATATTTTGACAGTATTGTATCCCTATATGAAGACCACTCCGGTAGTGGATGAAGCTGGTGTTTTGGCAGGGGATTTTGAGTGCCATCCGGCAAGCAAGTTGTCACTTTCCTGCGCAGCCAGGGCCTTGGCAAAGTTTGTGGAGGTTGTTCATCCCAGAGATGAGAAGATAGAGGAGAAACTATGAAACCTGGAAGTTGCCAATACTTTGCCATGTTCATCAAGCTGCTTATACCGGCAACTAGCAGCTGGCAAGCCAGGGGTTTTGATCTGGTTTCGACTCGCACGATTCTTCCAAGACATATTCCGAAAAATTGCCAGTTGGATCTAGTCTACTTGCCCGCAGGATATGGCCCAGATGGACAAGCTCCTCAAGGGGGCTGCAAACCCTTCCCAGGCCATCCTGCCTCGCACCAAGAGGGAAACATATGCTTCAGCATGTGCAAAGCACTTGTTTCGTTGTTTGGTGTGGGCAAGCAGTTGCATGAAAACCGCCTGTCACCACTGCCCGCACACACAAAAATGTAAACATCACATGATTATTGGACAAGAGACATTGAACCCCGCGGAATGCATCAAAGATTTTTCAGTACAGTCTGTAGTGCAGAATTTCACTTCACGGGACCCCAAGAGATGAGAATTGGGCGTTTCCAGCAGCTACCTGGCCGCTCAGGCCCATGCTCAATCACCTCAGGGCGATGGGCAACCTTCAAGAGCTCATCCGAGAGCAACGGAGTAGTGAACGAGAACGGGGTCGAAGCCGTGAACTCCGCTACAGTAGCAAGTCAAGGTGCGCCCTTTTGACAGGCAGTGCAGCTGACAGGGCTTTGATTCAGGGATGCTTTTGCTAGTCGCAAAATGTCACATAGGGGGTACACATCCGCAACTTGAACATTCTATCCAACGGTGGTCACTAGCGTGCCGAAAAGATGGCCGTGCTTCAATAGGATTGCATCACGTGATTGCCGCCATGTTTGTGACAAGATCACGTTATCATATGGTTCTGGAATGGTAGCAAGGATGCTATTAGGGGTTCCTGGCCTTACTAAGAGCAAGGACGCTATTAGGGGCTCCTGGCATCGCTACTAGGAGCAAGGACGCTACTAGGGGC